GGTGGGATTCAAATTTTTTTACTACTGTTTCTGTGGGCGTGGCTTCGTGGGCGTGACAGGGGAAGGATACTGAAAAATCCTCATTCCCTCCTCACCCCACAAACCTGCTTTCCAGCTCCGTTCTCCTGTGCAGGGCAACAAAAGGAGACCCAGCCAATTAGCTGGGAGTCAGCCTTGGAAGTCATATTAACACCAGATGCTTCCACGCTGCCACATTCTTGTGCCTGGGAAAGCAGGAGCGGGGATTTAATAGAGGGAGTGTAGTTAGATAAAATAGCATTTTTCTTTTTGGTCATGGTCAGGGTATTTCTGCATCTGGAGAAGGAGTGATTAGAGTGATGTCTTGAGTTGGGACCGATTGGGATTGGACCATGTGATAGACCAGTGATGGCGAACCTATAGCACGCCTGCCACAGGTGGCAGATGGAGGGCATGAAAGGCATTGCCCTTTCAGTTCCAGCGTGCATGCGCATGCTGGACAGCTGACTTCAGCCTTCTTTTTCAGCCAATTTTCGCCAACACGCAAACTGGAAGTTCAGGAACGGACTTGTTTTTTTCAGTCTAGAAAGCGAAAAACAGCCCTACAGGCAACCTAGAAATCCGTGCCCAAGCTTCCAGGTTGCCCGGAGGACCTCCGCAAGGGGGAGGCTGATTTTACCCTTCCCAGGCTCCTAGAAAGCCTCTGGAGCCTGGGGAGAGCGAAAAATGGTCCATCCCATGCCAAAAGTGATACCGAAAAATCATAATTGGCATCGGCCCACTACCCCCTGTCCTTCCTGACAGGAGACTGCCAAGCAATAGGGACCAACCGCCAGAGATAGCTGCCACCGCATCAGACTTGCCTCCAGTTGAACTCCTGATTCCTAAGGAATATAGAGATTTAGCCAAAGGGTTCAGTGAGGAGGAATGCAACATCCTCCCCCCTCATGAGCCACTGATCGTGCCATCGAATTAGAGCCTGGGGCCCAGCTACCAAAACCAAAAAATGTACTCCATGATGCCTGCCGAAATGTCCAAATTGAGAAAGTACATTGATACCAATTTAGCCAGAGAGTGCATTGAGATTACGAAATCTAAAGCGGCAGCCCCCCTATTGTTTAAAGAGAAGAAAGATGGAGAACTTAGATTATGTGTGGATTTTCGCTATGTCAATAGAATTTGCATACAAAATACATAACCCGTCTTGCTTCATTTTCATTTTTTTTTCTTCATTTTATTAAGATTTATAGGCCGCCCTTCTCCCTGAGGGGACTCAGGGCGGCTTACAATCACAGCTTGAGATGTGGTTGTGGTGACATGGATCCTGCTAATTGATTACATCTTTAGCAGGCTGAATTGCACTTTTTCAGATTATGGTGGTTACGTTTAAATAGTTTTTCATTTCTTTTAATGTTTGTAATGGCTTTTGTTCAGAGGTGGTATTCAGCAGGTTCTGACCAGTTTTGGAGAACTGGTAGCAGAAAGTTTGAGTAGTTTAGAGAACCGGTAAATACCACCTCTGACTGTCCCTGCCTCCATCTATTCTGTGCCGCCCAAGTCCCAGCTGATCGGGAGGGAATGGAGATTTTATAGTATTTTTCCCCTGCCATGCCCACCAATCTACACCCACCAAGCCATGCCACGCCCACCAAGCCACACCCACAGAACTGGTAGTAAAAAAAATTTGAATCCCACCACTGCTTTTGTTATATGGTTTTGGTTAATGTTTGTTTTTCTGTGTGTGAGTGTATTAACTTTGTTGAACTGCCCAGAATCACGTATGTAAGACAGATAGAGAGATTTCCTTTCCTTTTTCTTATCTGGTGCCTGTAATTCCTCAGCATTTTGTTTTTTACTTCCTTTCTGTCGTGGGCATCTCATAACAAAAGGGAAGAAGAGGTTGAGAGGTGTGTGTCCATGGAGCTCGGGCACCCAGTCCATTATGTTGTGCCAGTCAAGCCGAAACAGGGAGGGAGTTTTCACTTTAACTAAGGGAACTGAATCTCTTGGTGAAGGGTAGTTGTGTATCTCTTTCTTCTGTGTAAACATTCATGTCGAATACATTCAATGCCTGCTGCTTCAACTGATGAAAGGGAAACATCTTGACAGGTGATCCTTATGATCCCCTTCTCTTTACGGCAGGAGCTTTACCATCCTGAACCCCACCAATGCCGCCTATTCTTTCCAGTGGAGGTGTGAGCAGCAGGAAGAGAGGAAAACTCCCCCAGCCTTCATCTGTATCACTGAGCGAGGGCTCCTCCGGCCAGAGAAGAAGATAGAGGTGCATGTGCAGAAGAGGGGGGCTCAAGCCCAGCAGGCTCAGCTGCTCTGAGCCCCTTCTGCCCAGGAGCAACCCGTGGTGGCTTGAAGGAAATTCCCGGCTTCTGGGCTCCTCTTCTGATTCAGCCCATTACAGGGCTCTCTTTCCGGTCTTTCCCCCAAGGTGTTGTGGCTCTCCTCTGGGGGATGGTGGGGTGGTGGTGGAGGGCAGATACTGAATGCTGGGATATTTGCTTCTGCCTTAATCTCCTTTCTAGCAGTTTGGAGGTGAGGACGGAAGGCTTCTCAGCTGGTAGAAAACCATCTGTGGTCCTTCCCAAAGCAGTGAAAGATTCACCCAAGTCTTCAATATACTGTAATATTTTAAATCTTATTCAACCTTTAAACATCCAACAGTTAAATGCTGTTTTGGAATTCTAGCATACTTTTAAAGGCTTTGGAATTAAAACACCAAATTCGCCATTCCTATTGTTCCATTATTTTGGCCAGTGAGAACCTCCTGGTGCCAGAACTTAGCACTGTCTTTTCCTCTCTAGATCATATTCGAATTCATTCCCAAGCATCTGGATGTTACTGAATCCTTCTGGACCTTCACCATTGCTGAACACAACATCACGGTCCCTTTTCTTCTGGTGGGTCACACCACTGACCCAGCTGTCTTTTTCGAGAAAGTCCACCTGAACCTCCAGTCACTTCTGATTGGTAAGAGCAGCCTCGGAGGACTCGGGGGCTTGGAGGTCCGGGGGTCCTGCTTGCATTGCATGTGAGGCAGTCTTCCATCAGCTCTGCTAAAAGTAGTCTTTCCACGTTGATCCTGATATACAGGTAGTCCTTGACTTACAACAATCACTTAGTGACCATCCAAAGTTACAACAGCACTGAAAAAAATGACATGACTGTTTTTCATAGTTATGACATTTGCGGCATCCCCATGCTCATGAGATCAAAATTCAGATGCTTGGCAACTGGTTCATTCTTATGACCATTGTAGTGTCTTGGGCAGAGGTGGGTTTCTCCCATTATGGTACGGTATGCCAGAAGAGGTAGTGAAGATCTGGTGTACCAGACTGGACTGGTAGTGATGGCGACCTGGCCACGTCCCCGTACCAGTGTAAGAATATCCCGCTGCCCCAGAACCCATCCACAGACTTTACCCGAACTTGCACACTTTTTACATCTTTTAATACTTGCGCAATTATTCTTTTTTTTTTTAAATAAAATGTTTTTTTAATTTTAATTTGAAACAAGTACAACATC